GTCCAGCCCCGCCTCGACCCGCTTCCTCCGTCCTCAGCCCTGCTGGCACCACGCTGTCTGCGATGCGGGTGGGCACGTGGGTGCACATGCTCACACACGTGGCTGGGCTCTGGGACCTTGGGGCAGCTTCTCCTGGAGCCTGTCAACACCCACAGAACGTTTCTCCCAGCCACGTCCTTCCTCCAGGCATCACCCCTCTCAGCCCTCTCCCCCTGGGGACCGTTGGGGACATGGTGTCAGGGCCTGTCTGATCACCTCTTAGCCAGTCCCAGCAGGGCAAGGTGGGGCCGGTCCAGGCCTCTCTTCCGGGGGGGGGGACTTGTCCCCCCGTCGTCCCCAGGCCCCTGCTGGAATCTCAAGACAGCCCAAGAAGGCTGTTTGAGGCAGAAGAAGAAAGGACGTTTTCTCCTTATCTTTCCAGGCAGATTCTCAAGGCCAGACCTTGGAGTTCTGTTAGTTTTAAAGGGAAAAGAAAGGCAAGCATGAGAGCCTAAAATAGGGACAGAGGGTGGGCTTTGGTGTTTTTCCACAAAGCATTGGAAGCCGGGGGCACTGTGCCCAGACTTGGGCTCTGCAAAGGCCATCTATGGAGAGAGGGAGGACCGTCCCTCTGGCTGCACACGACCCGCCCCATTCAGGGCTGCATTGCTGGGACTGTCTTCCAGAAGCCCGTCATCTCACCAAACCTCAGCAGGATAGAGATGATCTTCTCCACTTTCCTGCTGGGGAACCGGGGCTCGGAGAGCCAGGGCAGGGGGCATGGACTGGGGCTGTTCCCAGCAGCCCTCGCCTCCTCCCGCCCTGGTCAACTGGTCAGCAGTTGCCTTCAGGGAATTTTTGGCCACGTGGGGGACCCTGGGGAGACACTGTGAGCACAGGCCCAGAAAGGGGAGGGTGCTGTCCAGGCTCAGCTTGCCAGGGGTAGGAAGCGCCCAGGCCTCCCCCGCCTGGTGTGGTTACCTCATGGTGGGGACAAGTAGATGATCTGTTCATCCCCTCCCACAGGGACCTTGCCCCGAAGGACCGGAATGGCGCATCCGACCCCTTTGTCCGAGTGCGCTACAATGGCCGGACGCAGGAGACCTCGGTGAGGAGGAGGCCTGCGGGCCTGGGAGGGGCGGGAAGCTCCGGGACCCGCCAGCCTGTCCTTGTCGCCCACCTCGCCTCCCTGTCACCTGGGGAGTCAGGTTGGGACTGTAGTCTCACTGAGGAGGCCAGAGAAGAGGGGGACCACCGCTCTGAGGGGGGCATGGCAGTGGCCACGGCCTCCAGTGCCAAGCCATTTCACCCCTGGCCATGCTGGGGGATAGGGAGGGGACCGAGATAGCCACAGTAGGGTTCGCCCAAAAAGTCCAATAGCTGCCCACCTTGTCTTCCCCACCCCAGGAAAACGGCCAGGGTGGTGTGCGCAGTCCTGGGGTCCCCAAGGTCTGCGTTCTCAATGCACTGACAAGCTGTGTGGCCTTGGACAAGTCCCTTCCCCACTTTGGGCCTCCATTTTCCCCATCTGAGAAACAGGTGGGGGCTTGAGCAAGACGTTTTTACCGCTGCCAGAGCCTCCAACGGTGCCAGGAGGCCACTGGGAACTAGGAGAGGCTTTGGGGCATCTCTGCCCTTAGCCTGGGGAGTCCTGCGGCGCCCTGTGGCATCAGCCCTATCCCTCCCACCCTCTGGACAGATCGTGAAGAAGTCGTGCTACCCACGCTGGAACGAGACATTTGAGTTTGAACTGGAGGAGGGTGCCGCAGATGCACTGTGTGTAGAGGCCTGGGACTGGGACCTCGTCAGCCGGAACGACTTCCTGGGCAAAGTGAGCACCTGCTGCTGTCAGCCCCAGGCCTCCTCTCCAGCCTCCTGCCCTCAGGGACCTCCCTCCAGCCTGCTCAGGCAGTGAACTGGGATGCCTGGGACCCCCCAAGACCAGCAACTGCCCCCCACTGCCGCCGGTGCTCAGGGACCCGGGGAAGAGGGACCCTGCGAAGAGCGCAGTTATTGACAGGGAAGAGGCCTGAGAATCCAGCCCCAGGATGATACCCCGTCTGCCTCGCCCTCCCCCAGGTGGTGTTCAGTGTCCAGCAGCTGTGGGTGACCCAGCGGGAGGAGGGCTGGTTCCGGCTGCAGCCTGACCAGTCCAAGAGTCGGCGGGACAAGTGAGTGCCTGCAGCTTGGAGGCAGGGCTCCAGGGGCTGAGGCTTGAGAGTTGGCTACAGGCAGGCAGGGGACGGGGGAGGGGCAGAGGAGAGCCGCTCAGGGGTCCAGCGACACAGTTCCAGGATCCCGCCTCCTCTCCTCTCCCACAGTCTTGCACTCAGCCCTGTCCTCTGAGCTCAGCGCCAGCACAGGTCTCTCGTCTTCTGCCTGCAGGCAGTCTCTAGAGCAAGCACTCAGACCCTTTCCCTTCAAGGGTCTCCTTGCAGACCTCAGGCCAGAGTTCAGATCTCCAGAGTCAGTGTCCCTGGGCCATAGCTCTGACTCCCTCCCCAAGATTCTCCGGGAACAGGGTTGCCAGATAAAAGAATATCCAGTTAAAGTTGAATTTCAGACAGAATATCCCGTTAAAGTTGAATTTCAGATAAACAGCAAATACTTTTTTGAGTGTAAGAATGACCCTGCAACATTTGAGACATGCCCTAAAAATGTGCACATTGAACTGGGTATCTCAGGTTTTTATTTGCTGCATTAGGCAGCCCCTGACCTGCTTGCCGTGACCCCCCCCCCCACGCACACCCCTTGG